TGGTACGGCGGGATTCGAACCCAAGACCTGTAGATTACAAGTCAAGTGTTTAAACCACTGAGCCACCGGCGCTCTATGTTAATGTTAACTAACTCCAAATAATATTAACCTTTATCTAACGTTTAATTATAATGTGAACTGTGCAGTGTCAATATAAACAATGTATTTTTAATTGCACCAAGCTGTCAACACAATTATATAAAACTGTATTTTGTTGAAATAAAAAAATGGATATGTTACCCATATTATAAACAAGTAGCCGAAACGTTCTTCTAGACTATCCTCTACATCTATACCAAATTTTATTGAAATCCGTTTAGCTGTTTAGGCTACAAACTCTAACAAACATCCATCCATCCATCTATCTAAACTTTCGCATTTATAATATTAGTATTCTATACAAAATTTAATTGAAATCCGTTCGGCCGTTTAGGCTACAAATTCCAACAAACATCCATCCATCCATCTATCTAAACTTTCGCATTTATAATATTAGTATGAAGTATAATTAGTATGAATGATGGGTAAGGTTGGATGGATGTTTGTTAGATTTTGTAGACTAATCTGCTGAATCATTCTTGGCATAGATGTAGAGCATAGTCTAGAACACATAGGGTATTTACTTTTTTTAATTCTACGCAGACGGACTTGCAAGCGAAAGTTAGTAACAAAATTAAATTGGAGTACAAAGGTTAAGGTACCTTAAGTTTGAAATACGTCAAAATATTGCAGTGAACATCCTAATTTTGAAATGTCAAAAGTGTAATTGAAAATAGGGAACATTCAACCGCCACTGGAAATATTAAAAACCAGTGCGCGGTAAACTGTAAAAAAATTCTTTTACGGAATTTTTATTGAAATTCTCGACTTCGTATTTATTCATTTACTTGAAATGCACATTTACATAACGATGGCCCTATTCGGGACATCTTTGGAATTTGCTTCGTTGAATATGAAATTTTCATTGAAATCTAGAAGTTTTATTTGACCGTATTTACTATTTGAGTTCCGTCAACGGACGACAGAATAGACCGCCAGTTACCATCCACACCATCTTGATGGCTGGCAACGGTGAGTTTGTGTGGAATTTTCTTCCTCGCACATTCCTTGTCGATTGGTCTTGATGTTTTTGACTATAATTCAAAATTAGATTTAATATCTTAATTTCTAATCTTAATAAAATTATAAATCTAGTCCCTTTCCCTTCCCAGCTTTTTCAAAAGAGGAAAGGATGGGAAAATACAGTAGATTTGACGGTGGAGGAGACGCATAGGAAGGGGAAATATCCTCTTTATCTGCGTCTCCTCCGTAGATTAAGGGAAGGCAATGCATCTGTAATTGCGGATGTTTATGGGCAGCGGTCGTTTCGCGATTCACGTGGCCGTTTGCTTGCTTGCCTCCTCGTAATATAATAAAAAACGATGTGCACCATGGTTATGTCGGTATGATCGAATTTACCAAGTTACCGTAAAAGTAAAAAAAAATCTGTCTACAAACCTGCAATGGCTTTGCCTTTATTTGAATTACTTCTTTTGTTATGTTTTCGATGAACAAAAAAAGTCATTCTACTTTTTGGATAGGTTATTTTCGTATAGTACAGACGGCAAAAGCTAAATGGCACACATTATTGACTAACTTCACAAATAATCAATAAGCATTCTATAAATAAACTGCGAAGTGTGGCGTATCTGTGACCGCGAACAGAACTGTGTCACCCTAAGTTACCATAGTTACAGTAATACAGAATTGAAAATAGACAAAAAGGTTTATTTTCTTTTGCACCTTACAAATTACACAATTTCAGCCAAGCAACTTACAATCTGTACTTAAAATTATAAAGCGTAAAATTACACTATTTTGTGGCGTAGGATGTCAGCAATCACAGCAAATTTTTGAATAATTCTTTCTTGAATAAAAAGCCCTACACTTGTGTCACGCTGTAGACTGTATATTTTCACGCTTTTAAACTTAGGGGGTAAATAAATTGGAGAAACATATGTGAAATAGAGCATAAGCTACAAGCTGCCAACATTAAGGTATCACTTTTTGTTTTCTAACTTGAAGGTTGTAAAAAAGTAACATGTTAACAGCCTAATAGTAAAATAAAATCGATTGTAGCCCAAAGCGATTAAGCCCCGGTATCAAATTTGAAACTTCCGGTATTTAAGGTTCAAAAGGCGGGAACAGAAGCTAGTAAACTGGAATATTTGTCCGTAGTTCATAAGACATTATGAACGAAACGTGTCAATGTAAATTTTTTCCCTATATCATCATCATCATCATCATCATCATCCCCCTCCTTATCCTACTCCCGTAGGGTCGGCAAAACAGGTTTCAAAAATATCAAGTTTGTTAAATTTTTCCCTACGTCGACAAAAATAATAAACATGCAATCATCCTCTTCTACATTCATACCGGAAGTACTCGTACCCAAAAGTTATATGCGTCAGCAATAATAAATGTTTCCGGTAGAAACTGGTAACAATAATCCGCAGGCTTACATAACAAAAGGCTTTCGCGGCCTCATCTCTTTCACGTCTACTTAATAATAGATTAAGGGCTTTAACTCTATCTCTCAACCCATTTAATATTCACTGAATAAGTTCGTTTTAAGGTCACATTAACTTACATTGTGACCTTGAAATGTGTAACTTCTATGTATAACAGTAAAATGGATTTGACAGAGGTGGGGACGCAAAAGGGGAGATATTCTCTTAGCGTCTTTTCCTTCTACAATTAAAGCTAAGAGAAAAAATGCAAATATTAAGGATGTCTATGTCTGATGATGTCTAACTTTTGCTTTGTTATTTCAATATTTAAGTTATTTTAAATACAAATAGCCGCTTGTTTACCATCTTACGATAGTAATGATAATTATGAAGTGCATTTATTATTACAATGTAAATTGAAACGTCGTTTCTAGACCTGGCGTTCCCAATCAGTACGACTTACAGTCAAATAATAATAATAAGCCTCTTAATTTCCATATTTACATAGCTTATAAATTTCAGTATTGTTAGTCTACTATATTCAATTTTGTTTTTTTAAATATGGATCCCTCCTTGAGTAAAGGACTCCTCCATCTCCTTCCAGCCTTCCCTGTTTTTGCAGTTTGCAGTTACAACCAAATAGTGAAACGAATCTTAAATATTTTGTCAGCTTACAATCTCATAGGCGTTAAAATTATAAAGGAATATGAAATTTAAGCGTGTCCATTAAAGACGCGGTTACATATTTAACATCGTTTCAGTATTGTTCTTAGTGTACTTAAAAAGTGTATAGCTATTTAGGCAGTCAATCTTACTAATATTATAAATGCGAAAGTTTTGATGAATGGTTGTTTATTTTTTGTAGATTAAACTGAACGAATCTTGATAAAATTTGGTATAGATGTAGAGGGTATTGAACACATAGTCTAATCACTTTTTTAATTCCACACGAACGGATTTGCGGGCGAAAGCTAGTTAATTATTATAGTTTTAATAAGAAGGTTAAAGGATATTAAATAAAATGACAATAAAAATGAACAGTTATTTATAATAATAATGATTGTCTTAATTCGAAATATTTACAATTAATAACAATTTTATTAAATTATTTATATCACAAATATTAAGACTATATTTACATATAAACATAGCTGATACGAATATTCATTTTAAAATATTATATGCGTAATATTGTTTTTATACAAGTTAAATTTTTATGAATAAACAAAAACCTTTTACAAATGGTAAACATTTTGCATTCCTTATAAGCTCTTGCATGTGTCCATTTTAAAAATCTCGAAAGTTTCATTTGAATTTATGTCTCAAATATTATTATGGTTGATGAAGGTAACATACTCGTAGATCTATAATATCTTGAATATTCTAGAAAGTTTACAAAACATTTGTATTTGCAAATACTCAAGTATGGAAATACATGTTTTTGTCTACACTGTCTATGTGATTTTTAAAATAATCGAACAGTAAAAAAACGTACAAAGTATAAAAATCAAAGGCATCATCACTAATATTCGTGAGAAACGTTAGCGTTACGAAAACGTTCAACAATTCCCATAAGATTTTTATCGATATTACGAATGCATCGCAACTGTCACGGAATTATTCGTGATAGACCCTCTTGGTATTGACCTAGATAACGTTGAATGGATATGAATTCTCAGAATAATAACGTCGTTTATTTTGTTGTTCTTTTGTTTTTGCGTGTTTTATTTGATTTTCAATTATTCGTATATTTTTTTGTATGATTTGAGCAAATATTGCGTGTAATAGATTGGTTCTTGTTCAGTGAAAATTAGCTACGGTTATTGTATTTATCTATCTCATACACATAATAATCCAATATTTTTACATTGTAATTCTTATATTTTATTTTCTATACATTTACATTTATTTTTAGATACAATAGTGACACTAAGTTTTTAAAAAAAATCTTAATATGAGGTAAATTTCAATGAAGTTTGAAATAAACACTAATAAAATCTATACTGATATAAAGAGGAAATATTTGTAGTTTCGTATATACAGAAATAACTCAAAAACTACTGGGCCGATTTCAAAAATTCGTTCACCATTAGAAAGCTATGTTATCGCTGAGTAACATAGGCTATATATTTTTCTCACGTGGACGAAGTCGCTAGCTATAGCTCGTTAAATATAATAGGCCTAAAAGTTACAAAACTGTGTTTACTACGAACATAGCTTTCGATACTGCTAGTATTAAAAATGCTGATTTTCATGTGAAATAAATGTTCAAGACTAGGCGTTTCTTGCGACTTCGTCCGCGTAAAATAAAAACAATCAAAAAAATGTTACACGCACACAAATTATCTTTTTAATGGTGTAGGAATTTTTAGTTTAAAATGAATTAAATCCATGAAAAATACGAATCTTTCCTAATTATAATAATAGTATGGATAAATCCAGCGTTTGTCTTGTTATTCAAACTTACCTCATACATAAAGCTATACTATTGAGTACATATCGATCGTTTAGTATGTTTGTCACCGGATAATGAAGTGTGACGTCATAATTGTGGATAATACAACGTGAATATAGCAACGCTTCATAGGACAAGGTGAAGAGGATTGCATCGCCGCTGGATTCTCACCTGCGAACAAAGAATATGGTTTGGTAAATCAACTTCATAGAGTTTGTTTTATTAGTAGATTTTTGTTCATTGTTAATCATACTAATATTATAAATGCGAAAGTTTAGATGGATGGATGTCTGTTAGAGTTTGTAGCCTATACGGCTGAACGGATTTCGATGAAATTTGGTACAGATGTGGAGGATAGTGTGGCAGACCACATACGCTAATCACTTTTGTTTTTTTTTATTCCACGTGGATGGAGTCGCGGGCGAAAGCTAGTTTACTAATATTTCCTTTAACCTACCCAGGTAAGTATGATAAATCTTGTTCTTGGTTATGGTTCACAATAATGGAATGGCGGGATTCGAACCTTCGACCTCAAGATCAGTAGTCCTTACCCCAAACCATTAGGCTATTGGCGCTTAGTTAATATTACAGATTGAAATGGCACGTGTAACAGAAGCGTACTGGTAATCCAGACGCGCCAAATCATCGTGAACACTCGTAATTATAAATACGAAAGTTAGGATGGATGGATGTTTGTAAAAGTTTATTCCCTACGGCTGGATATTGATGAAATTTGGCGCAGATGTAGAGCAAAGTCTGGAAAACATAGGTTGTTTTTTTAATCCCACGCGGACGGTCCCTTACAAAAATTATTAGAGAGTTATCTCTAACAAGTTTTGAATGAATGAATATGTATTTATTACCACAAAAAAGAAATTACATAAAAGGTCTTATTCTAAAGAAAACACAATCGTGGCAAAAGGTAGCCAGCTCAGCGTATGCAGGTATAAGCATTTCCTGCGCTGATTTTCTGCTGTTTTACGATATAGCAATGATGAATGACAGATCTATCTGGTGAACAAACTGATGTATGTAGAATTTAACCTACAATATATGGGATATTTTAGGGTAATCATGTAGGGAGTCAAGTCAAGCAATCAAAGTAATGTGTATGTAGTCAAAGTAATCATGTGGTGAAATCTTGAATGACATTATACCAATTTATATTAAACATTTTCGTAAGTGATAATATTGTATTAATAGAAGAAACAGTTTTATTTCATCAGACTGATTTCATTTTCGTCTAAGCGAGGGCGAAAAATCCACCGGCTATTGGGATCTCATAAATATGAAAATGCTCGCAATTCGCCCTGCCGCACGTTTTGACAGTTTCATCAGGAAAAGTGGATCGTGTCGCCGAGAGTCTGGAGGAAAAAAAATACGCTCCAAGGCGAGACCAATTTCGACATTAAGTTTTAAGGCTCGGACGTGAATGGGGATCTCAAACACTATCTGTTTAGAATCTAGATCTATTAATGTCTAAATAAGTTTAGCATACTTAAAGAACTATTCTTCAACATCCATATAATTAAAAAAAAAAAAAAAAACAGAAAAGTTTCATACAAAAAGGTTTAGTAACGTCAACAATGCAAAAAATGAGATCAATACACATTTATTAAAACTAAACATTCAATAGGAAAGGTGAAAGGTGTAAATTAAATCCTTTATGTTGAAGGTGAAATGAGTCACGGTATAGGTGAGTTCAGACATAAAAGTCAATGCTCAGTTCATTCATGTTGTAGGTTTATAGTCAATCAAATAGGTGAAGTTACCTATGCAATAGTTTTGTATCACCTATTTTGCAATTGAACTATACAAAATAACTTACCATTAAAAATATGGACGTAAATACTAGCGGGTACAGCGTTGTTGGGCACACAGGTGTAGTTGCCTGCATGGGAGACACTCGCGGCCGGGATAAGGAGATCGGAAAGACGCTGCACTGGGTCCGTGGTGACATTGATTCCACGCTCCAAGTCGTAATTGATCATTCTACTGTTGTGATACCTGATACACATGATTAAAATAGAGATGGAAAAAAATATGATGTACATTTTTAATCTTTCGTGGGTGTTAAACAAAGAACTTAGGATGGTCTCAGATAAAATGTTTACTTTTACATCTATTCAGTCATAAGGTCGCGACATGTGCAAGTACGCCGATTCGGGACCATAATTCGTAATATCTTTTTTTTTTTTAATTTCACGTTAACAGTTTTTGTACGAATACTGTCAAAGTGATAAAGACAGAAAACGTTCAACGTTTCAATTTACGTGCTGTTATCAACAAATACAAAAATCAGATACTTCGAGAGAAGAATAAATGCAGAAAAGAAGAATATGAAACGACAAAATAGAGTTTGAAAAATGAATTTAACTTACCAAAATACAAAAGCGGGCGCTTCCGTAGTCTGTACGACGGAACATTGCAATCGTAGAGTGGATCCCGGCTTGAGGTATTTTTCCGTTGGGCCGGATATTTGGGCGCGAGCCTCTGCGAAAAATTTATTTTAGGCCGATCGTAGACGGAAAATGCGACAAACGTCAAAATTGCGATTCAAATGGTTGTTTTTTTCACGACATCACTTTTAGGTTACCCTTCTATCTATGCACGTATTTCCGAAGAACTTCATCAAATTCTCCACTTTGATTGATCGTAGAACCAACCAACCAATTAACCATGTGTAGACTAAATCGTAGCAGTTCTCGTAGCAGTAACCGTAGCCTTGGTTCTACACTGTAGCGTTGATCTGAACTATAGCGAAGTATTACAAAGCGACCCTGTGTACAGGCGTCCTTAGGCCGTCAAATGAAAGCGGTGAATGCGCAACGTTGATGTATTACCCGGGTAACAGATGTTTATAAGGAATAATATTTTTTCTCATAAACTCCACTTTCTTGTGATAAGTTAGAAGGCAACTGGGGTTTTTGTTTATCCTGTTTGTAAATGAAGACAAAATACGTTTGATGTTTTCTTATATTTCGTTACTTGGTGGCTGATTTATACTGGGTTTCTGAAGTTGCCACTTATTATATTGAATGTTATTAGCTTTAGTTATGTTTCAACGGAGTAAAATTCAATTTAAGTAGCTCGGAAATGAATTTCATCAATTTAATAAATTTTTGAATCAAAAACACTAACGAATGGTTATTATATATGGGAAACCGGCCATAAGCCCCTTACTCCTTACCACCCTGTTCTCATAAGGAGAGGATGGTAAGGGGAAGTGAATTTGACAGTGGAGGAGATGCATAGGAAGGGGAAATATCCTTTTTGTGTGTGTCTCCTCTTCCGTCGGATAAGGGTAGGCAACGCATCTGTAATTGCGGATGTCTATGGGCAGCGGTCGCTTCGCCATTTTGGTATTCGGGTGGCCGCTTGCTAGTTTGCCACCTTATAATATAAAAAAAAATAACCGTCACAACAATAACATTATCAGTTGCTAAATTATTTTTTTTAAGTTCAATTCATAAAATATTTGTGTACAGTAACTGCGTCTAGTAAAATATAGATATAAATTGAATGTTATTCGAACTGAGAATTTTACTCTAAAATATTTTACAAATGGTTCGATTTCAGACATCGAGTTTCGCTTTAGCTTATCTTTCCCGCGCGATAAGGCTTTCCAGAGTGGGAACCGTTTTTAGTATTCTGGCTAAAAGGTTGTTGGAATATATTCTGAATATTGTATATTTGAATTGGAAATGTTAAGAGATCAAGGAATTCTGGATATACATGTGAATGTAATCCTTGTGTTAATGAATTACCAAAACGCCTTAAAAGTTGTTTGGCACTTAGGGCCTGCCCCACCACTGGCTGAGAGGCTCAGATAGCTTCAAAATTACGTCACTGTCAGATAAGGTAACAAAAAGCGATATTTCCATCACACGTTGGATGGTTATCAGACAATTTATAATTTGGAGACAGGCCCTTAATGATGGCATCTGTCGGACAAATAACAGCTTCAGGTAGTAATGAAATTTGCCGCAATGGCAGTATTTGTGTTATAACAAATCTTATTCCCATTTTACGTCTACCTTCCTTCTAAATCGCACCTTCATGACTTCGCACCCTAGTAAGTTGAACTATCAGTATATTGTTTTAGAATTGTAATATAGATCGATTTTATTTCTTTACCAACGACATCGAGCCGTAGAAAGATGCTGGTCGGTGGATGTGATGACACTTGGCACTCATAGATTCCTGCGTCACGTTTCTGCACGAACTTCACCTTTAGTGTCCAATCCTGGTGTGAAAAAAGCTTGTTAGTACACGGTTTCATATGAGACTTAATAAGTCAGCTTTTAAATGTTGAATACGTATGCGTTTTTAAACAATACTTTATAATCTACGAGCTGTTCCCGTACGGGTTCATCTGCATGGAATTATAAAAACTTTATTTTATTGTGAAATTTTTAATTGCTATTCGTAATATCAAAATTTAAATACACTAGTGACAACAAAGGCTTTTGATATTGGATAACGATTGCCGTTACCATGGCAACCTTGCTTACTTTCCGCTTGTAGTGTTTGTCCCTTTCCTGCATGAGGTTTTTTTTTCAAAATTGTTTACTCCCTAGGTTTAGTACCGTGGAAAAATATAGCCTAAAGCGTGTTATAGATGTAGGGCTTTTTATTGAAAAAACAATTATTCAAAAATATACTGCGATTGCTGACATTCTACGTAACTAAGTAAAGTGTGTTTATGTTTTATTATATTAGTATAGATTTGAACTTCTAACAAAGCGTTAACTAAGTTATGATATACTCTTATGCATGAAATAAGTAAGATTACTTTCCTTGTTATCTTTTGCTGTCAGAATAACATTGGTTACTTACCTCTGAATGCTGCAAATGTATAGCTTGGAATCTCTGATCTGAGCTATACGTGGTCAAGCCAACTGTTAGCAGATGATAATCCTTTCTTCTTATCCAGGATACCTATTCATATAAAACTTCTTTCAATCTAATCATTTATTTATTAGAAGAATGGGAAACAAGCTGCTAATACGTTGCAAAGAAATCAATCATACTAATATTATAAATGCGAAAGTTTAGATGATTAGTTGGATGTTTGTTAGAGTTTGTAGCCTTAACGGTTTAAGGGATTTCGATTAAATTTGGTACAGATCTAGAGGATAGTCTGGAAGAACACACAGGCTACTTAATTTTGTTTTTGTTTTTTAATTCCACGCGGACGAAATCGCAGGCGAAAGCTAGTTAAAAATATTTAACGTTTTGTTTGCGATTTTAAAATCTGAGTTTGAAATCTTGTGAACACTGGAAGTTTGTATTCGTAAAATTTAGGAAATAAAACGAATATATCTGTTTAAATTGAAGGTTTTGCTTGCTTCTTTAATACGTATTTGATATTATTTTTAATATTTAGATTTTATAGAAGTAAGCTTTTCAGCTTCCGTCAGTTCAATAGAAGTTTAACTCAAGTAGTGCTAAATTGGTTGCTAAATTGCTTTATTATATTATAGTACAGAAGTGTTGGGTCAACATTTGGTCTGAATAATTAGAATCGATAGCGACCCAAATACAACACTACAATGAATTGGGGTGGAATTCATTCTTTTTATGTGGTACAAACTGTTTGCTTAATCAACGTGATATAAATAAATTGGTTTTAATATCAGATTTAGGGAATTTTATTACAGTAATTTTAAATTTGGATCTGATGTTCTGCTGAATACGAGAGGAAAGATTTTGAGGCACCAGACGACTATTATAGAAGAATAGACGGGAATAAAAATAGGGGAAGACCAATAACATCATTAATGCAACAGATAAAGATGACGAGGTAAGGGGATGGAACAAGAGAACTGGAAATTGATCCATCAAGAACGAATATACTTCCTTAAGTAAAAAACGACAATGTTCTGATATTACACCCATGCAATATTATAACTACTCTTCATAGTTTTATTGAGATTTTTTGTCTGGAAAATTAGATTTTGCAGTATCGTATTATCCACTTGGTCGTATGTTAGGGAAAAGAATACGCCTCAGTTGATGTGCAGATGGTGTAACTATACGGTCCAATATCACGCATCGACGATTTTTTAGGGAATATCGTTTATAAGAAAAAAATATTGCATACACAAAGTTTTGCTCAGATATTTGAATACTTTTGCATAAATTTGATGTTTTCATTAAATATTTTGATTAACTAAATCTGGGAGAATTGTCAAGTGTTCGTGTGAACTGGGGAATTAGATGAGAAATTAAAATTAAATAAAAGTACGATTTCTTGTTTTTTTTTCCTTTCAAATATTAACTTTGAGTGAATTTACAATTATGTGTTCTATTGCAACTAGGCTAGTCCTAGGAATGGTTTACACTAGTCGAATGGGTTCGATGCCTGGACCTGGATCAGAAACTAGTACCCTTTACTGTTAGGCTATTGCCCCTATTGTTGCTTGAATATTTACCATTGCGATACTTACTATACCATCTCCAATATTCCTGATAACGCAAGGCAGGAGAGCAGTGGATCCAGTCTGTGACGTCACTAACGTATTATTTTCAGTGCCAAAATGCTTCTCTGGTGTGTTACCATAGAACTCATCTAATGGCGGAAATGTAACTGTCAGTTCATTCTGTTCTACTTTAATGGTTGATACTTCAGGCACTGGAGATGATGGTCCTGTGAATGAAGTAATTTATGAAACGTTTTCTTTTAAACTAGTTAAGTTGGTGATTTTAAGTAGTGGTATGGTCGATATGTGCTTCTTTTGAAAAACAACTATCCAAAATCATGATCAATGTTTTATTATGGTTTGTTTCAACATTAGAAGCTTAACAACAGAAGACCAGATATAGTCAATGTATGACTGACAATGTCAGTCGAAGACTTCTTCTAGTGTTTAAATTATTTTTTCCAAAAAATTCTACTTCTGATTTTGTCTTTTGCTTTATTACAATTATTTCTTTTACCATCAATATAAAAGCTCAATGAAAATTTGAATCGATATACCTCTTTGTTTTGTGTATTTCAATAATTGTTCACAAAACAAAAGTCAAAGTTGTGAATGAAAATTTAAAACTAAAAGTATTGTTTCAAATAATTGCCAATATTTATAAGGGGAAATAAAGAAGAATGCTTTGCTAGTGTAACATTGGAACAACCATCTAGTTAGTGCAAACAATGTTTATTATTTTTATATTTATTGTTATTTCCTAGCTTGTCGCGTTGCAAAGACATTGTTCGCTTGTATAAGCATTGTTTCTGATCAGGGAACTTGGTTGACCTGATTACCGTCTGTTATTTTTCCCTCGCCATCATGTTATTTCTAGAAAAATGACTATTTACTTTGTTCGCGAAGTTCTAGTTTGATTGTTATCTTTCTGTTTTAATCGAGATATGTACGAGTAAGTATTGAAATGAAAATTGTTTTTGACTTTTTTTATCAATACTTTTGTGCAGTTTACGGAAGAATTTCTTTGTACAGTTGTTTCACGTTTAGGATGTAACTGTGAAATTGCTTTTTGAAATAAATATCGGAAACTTTAGTAGCGTAAGTTTGTTTGTAACAAAATTATAAAGGCAATATTACAATTTTGGAATAATTATTGGAAACTCATGATAATGGTACATACAAGATAATATTGAATGGTCTTTTAATATCAAGGTCAACTGAGTTATTTAATGATAATGAAATCATGTAAATGAGAACGAATTTTAGAGTAGACTTCCAGTATCCAGAGTTGTCTTCCCTGCCATTTCTTTTAGACTGGTAGCAGTTGCTATCGGTGCTTTCATAAGCTGAGCAGTCTTTTCTGATGACCTATTTCAATATCTAATGAGGATGTTCACAGTCTGTTTAGTTACCACCATGAGTGATGTAAATTCGCCTATATCTGTGGATAAAGTTATGTACTTACCCTCGCCAGCTCCAGTGACCGTGTGTATGAGGAGAACGACGACGCAGACACATCGCTGACCTTCCAGTGACATCGCTGGCGTCGGTTACGACCCTGCAAATGTCACATCGTTATTCATCGCGATAGAACTGATGCCCTTAACTCGTGATTGAAAAATCTCGTGCAAGTAATCTCCTTTTCAATAAATAAATTTACATTTAAGCCGATTTAAAGACAGATATTTGGTACTGATATCGTTATAAAGGATTTATTCTATTTTATTGCTTAAACGCAGTACTTAAAAATGTTAAACCGCTAGCAAAATGACAACGGAAGACTTGTAGCGAGTACACTAGTCGATTAATAAATCGATTATTATTCGACGCCCGCGACCCCTCGTGTAGCACAGATAAACGCATGGGCAAATAAGAGACCGCGGGCGGACGATGAAAGTGACGTAAGTTTTATTAATTGTAATTTAACTGTATTTTAGAAAATAAACGAATCACGATACAAGTGTTTTCGTTTTAAAATAAATAAGCAATAACTATTTTACTTTGCGAAAACGTTGACCAAACAATTAGTTAGGAAAAGTAAACTTTTCTCTTACTCGACAAATATTTCCAATTACAGTAATGGTTGATATTTGAAATTCTTGTATGTTATTTAATTTATCCAGTTCAATGAAGACTGGAGAATATAAAGAATTTATTTACACAAAATGGAAATTTTAATTTTTGACTTGTTACATATTTTTTGAGTCAATTAATTACTGAAGTATAAGACGAAATTTGTCTTTATAAAAATATACTATACTTTTAGTAAGAGCTATACAAAAAGTATTCTGATCTCTATTTTCTATTAGAGAACGAGAGAGATAGAACATTTTATGTACCTTTTTTTGTCTTTTTTTTTTATCTTTACTTCTACAGACTCTTGGTCCGTACTCTTTTTTGCACAGTTTGTTTATCTTTTTTTTGTTGCCTAATCCTTATAACAAAAGTGAGTTCCTTTTTTTTAATGTATTATTTGTTTTTTCATAAATACAATTATACTTCTACAAAACGGCGGCGGATGTATTCTTGTACAGAGTCTATGTCATTTCATGAACCTTACCATGTAAGTAACCTTACCATGTAAATTTCCGCATTCAATTTTCAATTTTTCAATTCAATCCATGTATGGACATGGATCACATAGTTGAATGCAGAAATTCAAACCCTCATCCATGAGATCAGATTTACGTTCTTTAATCATTAGGTCGCACACCTCTAACTAAAGTACCGCACAATTGTTGTGCGATTGTCAATTGTTTCAAAGCCAGTTCAACCGTTTAGTTGCACAATTAAAATAAGAGTAGTCTGCACACTTTCATATGACTCACAGGAATTAAAAGGAGACTAAATATTTGTATCTCTAATACAATTTACTTCTTCCAATATATTGTGTTTTATTTATTGTAAATTAAAACGATTCTTAACATCGGAATCGTTTCCAAAAACATCTCTCTCCCAATTGAGTAAAATTTATAACAACGGCTATTGAGTTTCGCTTAATTTATTTTAAAAGCGACGCTAAAGGCTACGTAAATGATTGTCAATTCAGAATTTGATCTCAAAAGGGAAAAGAACATAAAGGAACGTTTCAGCAATTATTGCGCCCCGATATTTTATTGTTTGATCCCTATCACTTAAAAGAACTTTTTTTATTAACAAAAAAACATTTTAAAAATTATCCTCTTCAAATGTCTATGTTATTTTGTGTTAAAATTCCTTTTTCCTTCTTTCAAAATATCCATTAAATCTCTAGTCTATTGTGTATTTAAGCATTCTGTTTGGAAAAATTTATTTTCTGCTCTTGTATTTATTTTACAATGTTTGATTAAACAATGTTCTTGATTTATTATAAAAACAATGGTCCTTAATATTAGAAGCATTTTTATAATAAACTAACACTTATTGTACTGGTGACAACACCTCGAGATGGCAACACCGGATGCAAGATGACGACATTGAATTTCTATGACAACACTGAACACCCCATTTGAGTAGGCTCGTGCAGAAAAAGTTAGAATCCTACTCAGTCTTGTCCGTTTTTGTCCAAATTTTTAAAGATATTGTTACTCTGCCCGTTCCAAATTTATTTTTTACTCCGTTTATTTCATTTTTGTAATTTCACTGTTATAATAAAAAAAAAGTTTTCTTCAAATTCATTCATGAGTCATTTATAAGAGTGCCATTTCAGCAATATCTAAGCTTGTGCTAGAATATTTACGAGAATAGTCGAACGACGGTTTGAACTCACGACCTATAGTCAAAAATAACCTTTAACAGACTATTGGCGTTTCAAGTATCAATATTATTGACAATATCAGTCGTTTTAAACGGCCATTAAAAAAATCGATAGCCAATATTTTAAGTAGTCATAAAATATGGATTCATTACCAGAATGGTTTTCAAACAGAAAACTTTGCGCATATCTATTTCGCGATCTAACAATTTACTTAAGAATTAATAAAATAGCTGCTAACATTCCACTCCGATCCGATCGAGAGGCGATATAAATTTAATGGTCGATAAATTTTTTACTGTTTTATCAATCCTTGCTCCTCTTAAATCGATGTTAAACCTTACAAGCTTGTAGTGTACTTATCTATCTATTTAATTATCTATCCATTAATATATTACACTACATTTATTTATTTATTATATAACATTCACTCATACACATTCACAACATTACACACGCAAAACACACCACATATATTCATATACAAAATAAAATATTATTATAACACGTACAAACAAACACGCACACTCCACATTTATATACATAATTTCAACGCGCTGCAGAGCGCCGCCCGCGGCGCGTACGCACAACGTGCAAACCGCAAATCATGCACCGCGCCGCGCCGGCCGGCAAAACAGTCGCCTCGCGCTGCTACACTGTGCTGACACCTCGCTCGTTTACCCTCTCGCCCGCCATTTTGTTTACATTGTTTATATTGTTTCGTGTTAGTTCATAATTTGTGTACGTGTACGTTGCATCGTACGTCTTGTGTATGTGCACAAATAAACTGCATTGTGGTTTACCTCTATAAGCTGTTACGGTATATACAGTAGCCATAGAATAAATTGTTTTAAAGTTTACTTGTTAAATCTATTACTTTAAAAAACCTATCAGAAAAATTGAATGAATAAATAAAAACAATAATTTAGAAAACAAAGTTGAATATAAGCATAAATAGTATCTCGAACGAAGAAGTCCAGTAAAAAGAGAAGTGGAAGAGAGTAAGAGAAGTAGAACACTATGGATACAAAGGGGGAAGAGAGAGTAGGTCAGATAAAGTCGCGAGCATAAACAACTAGAAGATTAACTAGGATAGCAGCACTCATAACCAAAGGAGGCACTAACTAGGGAGACAGAGAGGCTTACAACTCTCAGTCGTAAGCATAAAAAACAGAACAAAGTAATTTGCATAAGAGTACAGAATGCAAAACGAAGTGGATTGTGATGCAAATTGAATACTGCACACAGCTCATTGCGACGCTGCATTACACACGATTTAATACGCCGCCACGGATCATAACGTTCTTGATATTACCCGTTAGCACGTTTATAGGGTTATTATTCTGGCTTTAATTTGGGAATACCATCATATTACGTTTGACCTCGTTACACTTGACGCGCCTCGACTGTTGAACTCATGGTGTTAACGTTTTAATTTAGTTTAATGTCTCTATCTAATTAGATGTTTAACACTTTATTAAACTGCAGTCATTCTTTTGTTGTTATTGAGATCGCAAAAGATTTTCGTTTTTTAAATCGGTTTATCATGTCGGTGATCTCGTTTAAATCATGTCATCATCATCCATTCATCACAACACAACTCAAAAATGTACGCCAGTGGTTTGGAAGTACCAGTTCAATTTTAGAGTCGCGGTGTCAAGAATGTAAGTTGCCCTAATGATCGCCGAACTCCGAAAGAAGATGGCAATTTAAGAAGAAAATTCATAACTACCAAGACCTATCACAATATGTCCTATCTACATTCTCAAATCATAATATTCATTTAGTCATCTAGTGTTACAAATCTTCGGTACCCAAGAATATTGGTAACAAAAATTTTAGAAGTGTTCATCATCATCAATTTGACATTGTCTCTACAAAGGGTCGGCACAGTATGTGCTGCTCTTCCATACATTTCTATCAGCCGTAGAAGTGATGAAGCGTGAAATAAATTCGAAGTCTCATTCCAAGATCATAATTGGTTGGAATATTGCTGATGACAAGTCTACAATTATCCGTATTGAAAATTAAATGGTTGTATTATCTTTGAGTCAAATTAATCTAGAGTGAATGCATTATTCGAAGGCCTTCATACAAGGCAGTAAAGTTTTATGAGTTCTTGTCTCGTAATATCGTGACTAACATGTATGGCGCGATGACGTCTGACTACTAAATAAAAATATAAAAGTGGAGCGTCCGCCCCATTTACTGTTCTGATGTTTTCAGCTTTATTATGATTTTGTTTATCTCAGCCAAAATAAATATCTGATACAAGCCAAAGACAGTTAAAGAGTAAAAAAAGTTGGTACTAATAGAACAGCATCTTTTTAGTATCATCTATCCTTTTATAGAAATTAAATTGATTGGATTAACTAGGAGGTAACTGGATTTATAAAGTTAATTGTTAATAAAAGCCTTAATATACTTAGGATCTTTCTTATATTTCTGATTATCCTCGGTTTGGATCTAAAGAGCTCTACATAAAGAAGCTTTGCTTTATTTCTTATGTTGAGTCAAATTTGATCGTCAAAAATACAGAAGGATCAAAAAGAAATCTTCCTCTCAACATGTTTCATTAATATTCCAAAAGTAGAATTGGAAAATGACTAAAATTATTTTCAAGGTACAAAATTACACTTTGTATGAATAAGCGGGTATTATTAAGCTCTTTGATCCGTTGAAACGCAATATTTCAGGATAAGACTAAAGTCTAAAGAACGTTGTTTACTGAATTGTCAATGTAAAGAAAGTCTTGTAATTGCATGTATTGATGCGTGAAGCGGGGGCGTTCGCGTTTCGACTTGCTCTTACAATTTCGCTTTTCC